AAAAAAGATGCATATAATTGGCTTCAGTACAAGACTAAGGATCAAAGAAAGAAACACCTTTCTGAAAACTTGGTGAAATGGTCAGAACTCTATTGTCTTCCTTATTTTAATCTAATCAAACATATAATTTTAGACCCAACATATTGTTTATTTTTGGGAATTGCAAAGTGAATTGTTATGCAACTTTAGATAGAAGGTGGAAAATTAAGTACTGATAATTTGAAACTTATAGATAAAAGAGCAAAAAAATTACAACCTCCAACAGATATCAGAAGAATTCCTTATAAAATTGCTACAGAAGAAGGATTTTCTGGATATACTGCAGACCAATAATAAACATTTATAATAATATATACTACTACAATTACTTGAGATTTATTAACAGAACCAGATCGGCATATTCTTGCAAACTTTGTTAGAGCATATAATTTGTTAGTTTGTAGAATATTAGATAAAGAGACACTTAATGAAGCTTATCAAAGATTATTAAATGTAGCAAAGTTAATAGAACAGAACTATGGTCCTGAAAAAATTACTTATAATATCCATTTAAGTTTGCATTTATACGAAAATTGTATAGATTATGGTCCATTGTATTCATTTTAGTATTTTTCTTTTGAGCGTATGAATGGAATCTTAGATAAATATTAAATGATTATATATAGTATTATATTATGTAAAAATACTTACCAATACATATAATTTATATTTTATAGGCTCATATAAAAGTAGCTATAAGAATATAGAACCAGAACGTTTGAGAATTATTTTCACGAATAAATATTTAGATAAAATTGTATTACATATTGAAAATGATAATAGGCTATCTAATTCTCTTACAATACTAAAAGAACAAATATCGGGTGATAGTATAGCTATTTCAGATGAATTTGAATTACAAGATCTTCTTCAATTTTATAATTTAAGAAATATTATTAACCAAGAAGAAGCCTTTGGTTATGAATCATTCTCTGGTATATTTTTTGATCTAAAATTAAAAAATGCTATATTACAACCTAATATTCAAAACCTTTTAGTGAATTCTATAATGTAGCAGATCTAGACTATCAATTTACCAAATCTGAAAGTATATCAGGAATTAATCAAATACCTGTATTTTCTGCTATTTTCAATATGGACAGTTAAAGTTAGAATCAGAAATTTTTGAATCTACATTCTCAGCTCGCTATATCAAATCTTCAAGAATTTTAGCAAGATTTGTTGCTTCAAAAGATGAATTAGCAGATTTATATCCCAGTTAGGTTCAATTCTACTTTGATCACACTATCTATTTTCCTTCTGGTGAATAAATATATCATCTTGTATTTGTAAGATAGTATAAACCTGCTGAAAATTATGAGACAAGGTTCTATATGAAAATTAAAGGTGATGATCTTAGTTGTAATGTAGAGTTGTGGGATCAAGAATTTTATAAGTTAAGCAGAAACTGTATAATTTCTATATATCAGATATATTCCTGGTTCATAGCAGGTATATATACTATTGATATCAAAAAGAATCCAAAAATCTATATAACTGTAATTCCTTTATATAAAAAGTACAATTTATAAATACTGATATTTCAATTATATTTTATTAACTTATATCCTTATCAGTTTTGTTTTTAACATATTATATCATTATCAGTTTATTCTTTTTTATTTTAATATACATATTAAATATATTTGGTATTAATCTTATATATTTAAATAAAATTATTTTCTAATTTATATATATAGGTTATGTAACAACTAGATTTTCATTATCGGTATTAATATAAATATCAAGAATAAATAAATATTGATATCAATATCAGGATTTGAACCCTTCAAATAGATTAGTAGTGCAACCAAAATTCTGAGTCAAAATTGATAAATTTTGCTATAACTTCAATATGTTCTGACCTTAAATTTTGGCCAGTCTGCTGAATTTTGGCTGCACTATTAATCTATTCTGATAATCTTTACATTTACTAGTACATATCATATAGGGTTAAAGTTAGTTTTAGGAATATATTTTTAATAAATTGGCACTTGGTATAATGTTGGCTAATACATCAATTTTTTTTTGCTGTTTCGCCTATACCAGCAATACGTAATTTTTTAAAATATTAAATTCCTGATATTAATATAGCATGACATAGAAATATATGTATTTTCTCTAAAATATACAGTAAAATAATTAGATTGATGTAATTAAAAATATTATTTATTTTGTCAATTTGTTTTTTGCTGTTTCACCTATACTAGCAATATGTAATTTTTTAAAATGTTAGATTTCTGATATTAATATAGCATGACATAGAAATATATGTATTTTCTCTAAAATATACAGTAAAACTAGGAACCGGAAACCGGTTTAAGTCCGGAGCTCATTATTGTCATCTTACACAAACGCGTAAATGTGCATAATTTTGTTTACACAATGTACAAATATAGACATGCGGCGTTATAGACGAAAAATGCCGAAACTACTTTTTTGATCTTTTTATTATAGATGCATCAAAATCCGCTTCGCTTCGGACAATAATTAGATTGATGTAATTAAAAATATTATTTATTTTGTTAATTCTTTTTTTGTTGTTTCGCTTATACTAGCAATACGTAATTTTTTAAATATTAGAAATATAAAAAAAATAAATTTCTTCTTTCTTTTTATTTTTTTTACACTTTTATTTTCAAAATGAATAGAGGCATTGTAGTTTTATATAGAAGACAACCACAGTAAAGAGGCCATACTATGGTCCAAACTAGTGGCACAAAAGAAGACATTGTTCCTCTTCATTATCAAGAGGTACTATACATTGGTTAAAAAAAATTATATTTTAACTAAACAATGCCTTATAATATATATATTACGAGGTATTGTTTAGTTAAAATATAATTTTTTTAGCTAGTGATATATCAATATCAGGAAGTTTGTATTATAATTTTATGTATTATTAAGCCAGGCTATTTGCATATAAATATATATAAGTTTCAAATTATCAGTAGTGATAGTAAAAGCAGTGATAGTGAAAGTGGTAATAGTGAAAACAGTGCTAATAATGAAAGCATCAATATAAGCAGCAATAATAAACATTTAGAAGTATTTAGAATATTTAAATATTTGGATATAAGTATCGGGTTCTGATAAAAATATCAAAAATATAAAATATTTTCATATTTTTAATATTTCTATCAGGACTCAATACTTATAGCTGATTTATTTTATATTTTTTTTTGGCAATTTTGTTTTATACATAGAATATCTGATAATTATTACTATTATTAATATAATAAACTGATGTCTGTTGGATTATTGATAGTCTAGATGAACAAAATAGACCAAACCCTGCAAAAAAATAGTTCAAATTCGAAAAACGGTTTCTTAAAAGATCATTTCCAAAAATTAAGAATAGTGTTGCAAAATACTATGTTAATAATAACCAAATACTTCACATTATCAAAGAAAGATATAGACACCAGTATGAAAAGTATTTAGAAAAAAAAATCCAGCAAGACATAATCGCCTAAAGGAAGAAAGAGATGTAATATGCAGTCATTACAGATATATTATTATTAATACTATTATATATATATATAAATATTGGTATTTTATATCTCACTTATTATTTATTATTAATACT